GAGGAGGAAGAAATAGAAGCTGTTGCTGGCGCTGCTTACTGCAAACACCAGATACTTCCAGGTCCACATGTTTTACCTTGTGAGACATCCACCTCTGCTGCAGTAGGCTTGCTTAGGTTCAGGCAGCAAACCTTATTTATAAGTGTTATACACAAAGGTGCATTGTTTCCTATGCCTCTTCTTTGCTTGTATTTTTACACTTTTCCTCTCCTCACAGCCCTTGGACATAACTTTACATAATGAGACACCTCTCCTTCCCTTCTACCTTGTTCTTGGGTGAGTAAGGAGAAAATAGGAAGAGAAGTGCTTCCAAAGGTTGACTGAAGTCTGGTAAGGATAATCTAACCAGGATTTTCTATAGTTACAAGGGAGAGACAGACATCAACTAAAGCAGGATTTGGAACAGGAGCCCAAGTTGGCTGATTTAAATCAGTTCTCCATGTTTCAAGCTCTTGCTGCCTTATGGCCTGTGGGAGAAAACCACATTGAGAATGAGACCTCAGCCAGGAGGGAAAGGTAGAGAGCCAGGAGAGAAAGCTACAGAGCCATCAGCACTGCGAGCCTCCAGCTGCTTCTGGAACTTTTTATACATTTTTGACTGAGTTATCAATTTTTGCTAGTGGGCTGCTTCCTCCAGCCTGCAGTGTGGTTTTCTTTGAGCATACATCTTTCCCAGCTTCACTTTACTTTCCCTCTTCTTCTATTTCAACTTTACTTCTCAAGAAACCCATTTTTAGCCCTCCCCAAGCCTCAGTGCCAGCACGCTGGCTGCTGCGACCGCACCATTGTCTCCCACTGTGAGATCTAAGTCTCCTTTCTGCCATGTGAAACCAGGCCAGCTACATGACTCAGGCTGCTGTGCAGAGGGCAGGACATGTCTGCTGGTTGTGCAGCACCTGGGACAATGGAGCCTGTTCTCGGCAGCTTGTAAGGTATGACTGTAGCAAAGGGATCCCCCAAGAGAGGCACATGCAGAAAGCCACTCAGTCTTTCACTTGAAAATATGATAGTGCCAAGTCTCAGAGTCTCGAGGGGATGCCTAGAGTCTGGGGAAGGAGACATGAGCATTGAACACCTTTTCAACTCCACTTTGAATGTGTTCACTTTCTGAAAGTCATACACATACCCCCCAACCAATTGTTTTTTTCATGAGACTCGGATAAACACAAGGCAATGCTCCTTTCAGTCAGCAGGAGTGAATAAGAGCGATAACAAAGGCGGCAGGGTAAGGAAACCCACATCAGTAAGATGAAAGCATAATTTTTCTATCTTCTGGAGCTTTCTCACTTTAAATGGCTTGTTTTCATTTTTTCATGTGTGTTAATAACCAAGAAACCCAGGCCTAACACGCCCAGTCTTCTTGTCTTTTTAGCGCCTTAGAGGTGTATTTTTTCAAAAAAACATTGAAGTTATGGTACTGATGCAGAGAGGGAGACACTGTGAACTGCCCTGCATCTGTGGGGTCAAGCAAGGTCAGCATAAACATCCTGGTAATACCACAACTGCATTGTACTAGGGTTTATATACTGCTTTCAGTATACTACTTTCAAGCCTATATTTAAAGCAGTACAAAAACTGCATGTAGGCAAACCCTTGGGAATATGTTTTTACTCTTCAAACAATTGTAATCAAAGGAACAATACTGACCCCACTGTAGCCAGTGGGAGTTTCACTACACATTGTTTTCAGAAGTTCTTTCAGCTCCTAGAAAATTTTCTGTTAAGTCAACAGGGTCTCATAGTGCAAACAGCTTTTCGAGGTTAGATTAAAAAAGAGAGTCAAGAAAAAAACGGAAATAACACAGACTGATCAAAGGCAAATCCATGTTTGTGTCGCCTACATACACATTAACACCTCATTAACACTATTTGTACCTACAGAAGAAGTCAAGCATGGGATCGGTTATGTCACAAAGTAAATAAGTCCTAGGCAGAAATACTGCTTTTTCCTTCTGATAATACCAGAAATAGCAGGTCCTTGACTGCTGTAGCTTTGTTCCTGCCATTTATGAGAATAGAAATGAAAAATTCCAACATTCAATGATCAAGAGTTCCCATATGAGAATTCATAACAATCATGATAAAAACAAAAGCAGTAAATTGAAGATAACAGGATGGGCTTTTTTAAAACATAGTACCAATTTACAGTATGGTAAAAATACTACAATAATCTTTTGGAGAAAAAAGCATCAAAAGAATCATACAACCTCACAAATGTTTCATAGTCCTGAAGGCAAGACAGCATTAGAAATTGGTCGCATCTCAAAATTCTCCATTGATGGTTGTCATTTCTCCTGTGATTTCTGTTTTCACAATATAGCACCTCACTTCTGCCAAGAAATGGAATTGCTGCTTCCTCCTCTTATCTCCACTGGCTCCCAGCAGTGTTCCATGCCATACCTCCAGCTCAGCCATCTTTCCAAACCTCTTCAAAACACTAATCAGCCAGAAAACAAGTGCATTAAAACACTTAGAGCAAAACCAAGATGCTTTGCTGCCTCAGTGGCCTGGGGTGCTGCAGCCTGGGCAAGCACAACTAGCAAGCTCCAAGCTTGCATCGCTTGCTATTCCCAAACCTCCTCCAGTGACCAGTGCAGTCAGGACAAGGATTTGGTTGTGCACAAGTTGCTGTGAAGAGAGTTCTTCATTCATGCAACCCCCTCTTATCTCCCTTTCTCTACATTTTGTTTCACAGGACTTAAGATTGGCATACGATCTGCTGAGGCTCTGCAGCATCTGGGGTTTTACCAGCATATCCTCTACCTCATCATTAGCAAGTAAAAAGAGAAAGCCTTCCTTGAGCTTATGCTGAATCTGCACCCATTTCACTTCTCTAAAACCAATTTTGTTAAACCAGATCAGATGTTCTTATACTGACTTAGCTAAAATCAATTCCTAATTGATTAAAGCTAACTTGAAATAAAATTGCCTAGGCTATAATAAAGGGTGTCCGTAGCAATTTAACTGACTGGATTTAAAATAACCCCATCAATTAAGCAGCTACAACTGTTGAGCTTTTCATGACTGAGTTTGCTTCCTCCTCTGTGCTCAGGAAGCATTAAGTGCAGGGGGACCTAATCCCAATTAGTGCAGCAGAGTGATGCTGTGGGAGAACAGTAACCAATCCAGAGCGAAGTTTATCAGGCAAGGAAGATCTGAGCTCTCATCTTTTCCCCTTGCATTGCCTCAGGCATGATATCCTCTCTCCTTGCAGGTTATGAGCAGAGAAGGCAGGAGCTGTCTCATACCTTGCATTTGCAGGGCACTTTGCACCAAGCGGGTGCAGTCTTGTCTGCGTCTTTGGAGTTCTGGCATTAACCAAATATCTGTCTTGTAAAACAATGAACATCAGCCTTGCACTTTCTCAACAGCACGGTCAAATATTTTTAAACTTGCATATGTCCATAGATGAGAGACAAAATGAAGCCAAAGGATGTTTTTCTCCCTTTTAAAGGCTTGTGTTCTGCTCTGAAGTCACATCCATATGGAAAAAAATACAAATGCAAAAAACTGCTTCAGTCACAAACCTGCTGATGCAAGTGCGCTCATGTGATTTGGTGTGCTAACTACACATTTGGGTATTCTCATAGGAAGAGTCTGCATTACAGCAGGGATTTACCACCACCTTATAAACGAGGATTTGGGGAGGCATATAACACTTGGCTGCTTTCTCTGTTTTTCCTGTGTCCTCTGGAGCCCTTCTTGCCAAGCTGGAACCCACACGAGGTTCAGAGCACTCCCAGTTTTTAGGACACAGCTCCATTTTGCTTCTTTGTAAATAGGAGTTGGAAGCACTGAGCACAAAACATCTTCCCTCTGTGAGACCAGCACTTTCTGCCTGGTACACAAGTCAGTACTGGGAGTGAGGGTGGCTGAATGCTAGTGCCTTCAGGGAGATGCATCCATACAGGCTGGCAAAAGTTAAACAAATCATCTCTTTCAGTCCTCTGTGCTGCATATCTTTTCTCTGCCAGCCCACAGGGATCTGAAAAATACCCAAACTGCTTAACTGCTTATTCAGAACAGACATGAGCCAAAGCTGGAATGAGTTATGCAAACGATCCTGAAGGCTGGATTTGCTGGTAAAACAGGATTCAAATCCAGGCCACCCTGCCTTTGTTTCTGCAGAGCCAAAAATTAGACAGTGATTTTCTCCAAAACAACCAGAATGTTTCTAGGTCTACTTCATTTCCATATTTTGATTCCCTGGTTTGCCATCCATCCTACACAACATCCTTTCCTTTCTCCTGTTAATCACTGCTTCATACTTCCAAAACTTATTGATCTTGCATTAGCCACATAAAGAGGGTTTTCCTTTTTATTGTGGTCCCACTCAAACCACAATCTATATTGAACTCAGTACAGAACAATGATAGGGAACTAATAAACATTTTAAAATTTCTAAAATCTAGCTCATGGACAATGAAAGAACTTTTCCAAAAAACTGCAATTGATTCCTTTGATTTTTTTTCCATCAGTAACTTCTTTAGCTACTCAAGAAATTATTTAAAACCTTTTAAAATTTCAATTCTTTTGGGAAATAGAGTCAACACTGGTTAAATTCCAGTCAAAGATGTATGTCACTTATTATTTCCAAGTATTACCAAGTTGCGTGGTTATGTATCAATATACATACGTTGTGTCTATATGTGTGCACACACGTGTGTGTGCATTTACACTCTTTGCACGTGGTATTATCTATGTATTAGAAAAAGATTTAAGTTGCACAATTCAGTCTAGATCCAAGTTTGAATCTTCTAAAGTTTCAGAGGTGTTTGGACCTAAGCCTCGTCCAAACATAACATAAAAAATGGGTCCTATTCAAATTTTAGAATCCATTTAAGGCTCAAATGTTTCTCACCAGTAACCTTTCCTGGAGTAGCAATGAAATTTGAGCTTTACAGATGAGACAAGGTCACATGAAAAATACAGGAACGTTATGTCTCTAACAGGATGACATAGCAAGATGGCATTTGAATAAGCAACCAGGATTCTGCCAGTGTAAATAAGCATATCTATACAGAAATCAATATACCATGCAAAGGAACACAACCATTTCAAAATCACATTTTTATCCTTTGTTATGAAAGGGAACAATACTAAGTCAGTAAGGCAAAATGACAACTCTTTTAATTTGATTTCTCTAAGCATTTGACAAGAATTTCACTTCCTCCTTTGTGTAATCAGTAAACCACATTTGTGTAGGTTTTTCATGCAGTAACAAAGGACTGTGTACATGGATGTGAATAAATTATGAGAAGCGCTGATGAAAAAAGTCAGGAATAGGAAGAGGAAGCTTAGAAATAAGTGCTACATTAGAGACATCTTTTATTTTTATAATCAACCATATTCCAAGTTGAAGCTTTCCCTTTCTTATCAGCCTAAATATACATTTCTCCTAGCTGCAGTCTCAACACTTTAACACAATAAATTATTATGATTACATGCTAAAACACTAACGTATTAAAATGGCCTGCTGAAGACAATTAAATTCTTGTGAAGGCATGCAGAACAAGACTCTAGAATAATTATTAAAATTTAATACTAATAAATAATTGTAATCAACACAAAATTTGAAGCTGAAATTTTGAATGTGTAGCTACAGGCAGCACAGGCATCTGAACCTTTGAAGAGGAAGTGATGTCTCATTTTCAGAGCAAGGGTGTGACTACAGTCACCACAGGCAATATCCACAGTGTGTTCAGCTTGGGAAGCCATGGTCTCCCCTCCCACTGTTTTCTGTAGGACACATATCCACCCCACAAACCTTCCTTGGGTTGTCTGTAGCTGCCTCCTGGTCCTCCTTGGCTGTAGGGGGTCACCATCAAGGAACACACCAAACACCCTGGCTGCACCACTGCTTCCTGGGGTGACACAATGGATAAACTGCACAGTGGCCCTACCCTCACACACACCACTCTGACTTTAATCAATACAAATCTGAAGCCCAAATTTTGAGTGTGTGAAGAAGTGAGCCATAAATATATGCCCACTGCCTTACAACGATATGTTACCAGCACTGAAGAAAGACAACACCTGTACAGCCAATAATTAGAATTGCTCCACTGCCATTGTTAGACATTTATAGCAAAGACTTTGCCTAATTTAAAGATGCTGGGTACTTTTCTCTGTCAACTCTAGCCAAGGACTGGGTAGAGCTGACTATCAAGCAGGCTGAATTGTTCCTCACACCCCATCTCTTAAGGGCAATAGCAGCCATAACACCTGCATTTGGCTGTACAGCCCTTGGTGTGACAGCAGTTCTTCTGCTCTATCAGTTTGATTTGCAGGTTACCACAAGGAACTGCAACAGTTTGCACACAATGAATATCCAGGTGTATTTCTTGCTGGGAGAAAAAAAAAAATGAGAAAGGGAGAACATGAATAACTGGAAGAGAATTATGCTCCGAACCTTTCCTGGTCACGGAGTATTAACAGAATAAGAAGTGCTGAACTGTGGACTATTTGGAGATGTATTTGTCAGTCAGTACACAACTTCCCCAAAGTCTGGACTTTATATTTGGTTAATGTTATTAGAGCTGGGAAAGACTATTAGGAAACTGAGAGATGAAAATTATATCTGAAATTAATATTTCTGATTGTTTTTCTTCCTCCAGGTTATTTCTACAAATCAGATATTGTGAATTCTTATCTTGTTCCCAAATCAAATAACTCCAGTGAGCGGCAAAGGCAGGGTTTGAAGGAGGAATCTCCAGTGGTCTGTGCCTCAGAGCTGTGGTTTATTCTCTTCCTCCTCAACTTTGAGGCAGCTTCATTAACTTGGACTTAGATTCCAGCTTCAGCTCCTGTTGTAGAGAGGAGAAAAGAAAAAAAAAAAAAGGATGAAAGAAAACCCCAACATGATCCAGTCAGACCTTGAAAAATTAGACTCACAGAAGAAAAGAGTACAATCGGAACTTGCAAAGACATTTTTTTTTTATTGGCCTTGTAATTTCCTCACTAAACACGCTTTTAGCAGCCTATCCCTCTCAGAATCTTAATTATCTGGCAGCCCCTCATAATGGCCCCATTCATGGTTTTGCAGAGCAAAAGCACTGTGATATCGCAAACACAGGAACTCAGAAGTTACAGCATGTTCCTGAGGAAGGGCTGCACACCCACAGATAGTTGGCAGAGGGAATTTGCTACTTGGAGAAATAATACAAATATGTAGACTTTTTTTCCTTCTTTCTTTTTTTTTCCTGAAGCAAGGAAGAAGAGATGCTGTGCCTGAGTTCTGTATAAAGGTAAAAAAAAAAAAGCCCACTGATATACAATTCTGAATAAAGCAGAATATTATAGGTTCTCAATCTTTCTCCTCCACCATTTCTGACTGTTCACTGACTACCATAAATTAATATGACGTGATATATTATATAGGCTGGAGACATTTCATGAGCTTCCGAAATCTTTTTCCCAACAGAAAATGTGAAGCATCACTTACTGTTCAGCCTTTTCTGGTTTGGTTTGTTTCGAAATGAACCACGCACTGAAAATATCTTATCTAAATCAAAATGAAGAATAACAAGTTGGTCAGCATCCTTGAGAACTGGACATTTTTAGTGATTCAAGTACATACCTTTACAGACCCTGTCTATGATAAAAGAAAGAAAAAAAATGCTATTCTATCACTAGTTCTGAGAGTCTGTTATTTCTGAAGCCCACACTGATTTATGCTTTCCAGGTACCTTTTGTAATCAGTTTTGCTTTTTAAATTCTCAGTCTGACTTTGTCTAAAAGAAAAAAAATTTTATAATTTTAAAATTAAAAAAAAAAAGTAAAAACCTCTGCAGAACAGAACTCCCACAAAAAAAAAACCTCTGAGCAGAAACTACATTGTATGTAAAATATAGTCCAGAAAAATATATTAAAATACTTACATTAAATAAAAATCTTCCCAAAGGGCTGTAACTTCTGTAATAAGAAATATAATAATTTTACTAAATTATTCAGTGTTCAGGGAAAATATCAACTCCATATATCCACACTTGTCTTGGGATGACATTTTAATAAACACATTTAATATTCCAATAGAAGTGGTCCCATTAACTTCGGGATCTGCTGTGTCAGGCCTACTCAGTAAAGATTGACTAAGGTCCTAGGGATAACTTTATGAATACCTATTGATTTTTATTTCAGCAGGTGTGCTCCCTCCAGAACTGGTGGGCTAGCTAAACACCATGAGCCACATTCCTACATGCAATGGTAAAATAAAAGCGATCCCAGAAAAATGATGAGAATTATGAAAAAAAAAAAAAGACAAAAAAAAGTTTATCTAGGACCCTAGTAAGATTAAGGTAAAGTTTAATTTTGGTCCACTTCATCTCACCTAAAAATTACATTTAATAATAAACCTATTTTATCTAGTATGTGCAGATGTGATCCAGATCAATTTCCATATTAGAAATATCAAGATTAAAAACAAAACAAACAAACAAACAAAGACAAATAAAGAGCCCACTCAACAACAAGAATACACAAAGGCATTTGGATCTGTGAGTATGAGGACTTACAGATAAAACCTCCCTGAAAACTTCTCTTCAAGCAATAAGGCAAGGAAAAAAGCATTACAAAATTGAGCTTGGGACATGACTCCTTCCCAGAGTCCTGTTTCTAACCTCCAGAAAGCCCACCTCAGAGAGAAACAGAAGCCAGAGACTCCTCACACATACACAACAGTCTGTAAGTGAGCTGGGTTAGGAGTCACCTTCAGGCTAGTTGTGCTCCAGGACCCACCGCCACCACCACACTGGCACCTTGTAAGAAAGACAAAGGAACATAAGAGAAAGAAATAGCTGTTTTCTTTCATCTGAAAAATGTCTCCTCCAGAAGAGGGTGAGAGGTAGAGTGTGTGCATGCCAGGCTACCCAACAGCACCTGTTCTAGACTGGTACAGTAGCATCAGTCTCCACATTTCATCAATAATGAATGCCTATGTTAAAGGAAGAGATTGCTAGAAAGAATAGGTTGAAAGAAAGCATAAGTTAAACAGTAAGAAATTAACCTAACTTGCATCTACCAACTGAAGGCCAGAGTTTTGCATCTCTAGACAGAAAGAACAAATTGACCTCTTCACAGAAGTGGTGCACTAAAGATGTTTAATGAATTGCTTCAGAAGCAGAATCAGTTCTGAACTGAACACGGGTATCTCAGGGAGGAAAAAGGCACATAAAAGCACTATGCAAACTGCTGACAGCACTAGCTATATGAGAGACAATCAAGGTACTTAACGTTTTAAAACACACATCCTGCATAATAACCAATGCTGTAGAAGACTCTGTCGCTCTTTCAAGCACTTAATTAAGAGAAGCATCACTGTACCAGGATCATAAAAGATATCCTTTAAACCTCTTGCATAAATGCATGTGTTCTGAGACAGAGAAATGTGAACTTATATTCTTCATGTATTGAAGGGCCATTTCCCCCTTCAGAAGCTGAGGGAAGAGGGGGAAGGGGGCACCACACTGCTGATTTTCTACAAACACACTTAACCTTTAGTAGCTGCTGTCAGCATTTCCAGTGCTAATACCAACAGTGAACAAAGTAGCTAGAGGAGTGCAGAGCATTTGCTTCTGTTAGACACAAGATCAGTGATTATTGGGTCAGAACCACCTTGTGGGGAGAGTGTGTGCGTGCGCATGTGTGTGTGTGTGTGTGTGTCCCTGAAGGGATGGGTTGAACCTCACGGAGGTGAAGGGGCATTGTCTCCCTCATGGCAGGTCCCTGGAATTCACATGGGGAAGCCCTGGAGTAGTTGTCAGTCACAAATAGCCCAGGAAAACTATAATACATCACACCTCCTGGAGCCCCTCACCCAGCCTCAGATTGGCAAGGACAGTGAGGACACTGCCCCTCACCCTAGCCTGGAACCCCAGAGTAGCTGGTGGGTCAGAGACCTCACTTGGGGGGCCTGTCCATAGGGACCAGAGCAGACAAAACCACAGGCATACGTTTGCCATGCATCACTGCCCTGTCATCTGGACATATGAAGCTGGTCTTCCACAAGGTTTCAGTGGTAGTTATCTCTCCCTCTTTCTCCTTCTCTCTTCTTGTTCCCTCTGATTCTCTTTCTTTGCTTCTTGCTTGATGCTTTTGGTGGCTTGGAGTTGGAGGGATCGGCTTTTGACGTAAGTGCTGTGGATTGATTACATCTTGATTTAAGTGTTGTGGATTAATAGTATATTCTGAGTTGGTATAGTAGTGGAACATGTTGTCTAGCTTATGTAGTGCCCTTTTTGAACTTTTGCCAAGTTCCCTTATTGTCTCCCCTAAAGTAATAAAGAAACCCCTTGGGAACAAGTCTGTGGCTTATTCTCTTGACACTATCTCAAGGTATTAAGGAACCCTAAACCTATATTTTAAAGTAAAACTCCTAGCTGAGCTCGTGAGCCCACAGCTCTGGAGCTGGAGTGTTCATAGGTGAGGCTTAAGAAATCAGAGGTTCCTCACAACCCAGGGTGACTCGCTTTAGCAGCTATACCTGAGAGGGTGGCGATGCAGGAGAGAAAGCAAGAGGAGAGAAGGGGAGGTGTCTCCATGAGTTCAGGCAATATTTCCTGCAAAAGTAACAAGATTGTGGTCCGTAATTTCCCTGAGCCATCATGTCTGAATGAACTAACACCATCTAGAATGTACACGTATCTTCTAGTAAACATTTCCTTTGATGAGTGCTTGCAGTATCATAAAAAAAGTGCTCAGGCCGTGGGTGATAGGGGGCAGCTGCTGCCTGGCTTGCAGGCCCGGCAAAGGTTGATGGAAGCAGGGCAACGGGAGTTTTGCAAGAGGCAGTAGCTGAAATGGTTGATAATAGCTTCTGTAGCCCTTAGTTTCTGGGTCACTAGGTCGAATGCAGAACCATGCAAAAGTCAGCTTCATCTCTCTCACAATCACACAGTGCCTACATGAAGGGAGGCAGTGGCTTCAGCCTAGCCTCTCCAGAGCCACTGCTCACTCCTATCAGGAGCCCAGACTGGCTCCCTCTGGGACAGTCTCCCAAAGAAAGCATACCAGCAAATTGGCATATAGCTTGAACTGCTTCCTGACACCTGAAAAGCCTTATTTATGTTAGGCAGGTGATGTGTCCTCATCACAGTAAATTAAAATGGTCTTGAACTCTTGACCAACTTACCTACACTCAGCCCACTAATATACCTCCGCTGGGCGTACTCCACACACCCCGCTGCTGCAGCAGCTCTCTGTAAAAGCAAACCAAGCGAGCAGAAGCACAAGGTCTTCCCTTGCCCCATTCAAATGCAGACATGCACATGAACCCTTCACAGCAAAGGGGATCAGTGTTCAGTCCTGAGGCAACCGCAGGGCTCCACTGTCATAACCCACAGCTGGGCAAGGGCTGAGCCCCCTGAGCAGTGCACCATCCACAGCATGCGCTCCCCTCCCACTTGGCAGTGGGTGCTGAGCCCTGGTATCATGGAGTTATGACTGAGTTTTCTAAAATGTATACTGGTTGCTATTTTTTGTTGCTATTACCTCCTCTGACACAGTTTGGGCTTGCAATATTAAGACAGCTTGGGTTTACATATAGACAGAATACAAATAGGTTTCCTGCAAAATAAGTGGTGAAAACACACCATTTGACGGTGCTGCGTGGTTCACAGGATTTATGGTCTCTTGTTTGGGATGAACAGTGCAGTTCTCTTGTGCTGTTTCCATTATGAATAATGCGGCAACGCTAAACTCACACTAATAAAACCTGAATGTATCACCGCACTGTTTGGCACTCTGTATAGGAGAAACCCATCCATTAGCAAGGCGGGCACTGAAAACTCTTTGTGATAGGAGCAGCACAGCGACAGCTTCACAGCAGCTATTCAGAGCCACTTTACAGCTTCCTGAGTAGAGCCTAGGCTGGGCTGCACGCCAGAAGTGCGGAAAATGGCTGGCAGAGACTCTGGCCACTGATTTGTACATCATGTGAATCCCCCAGAAAAAAGAACAGGTACTGACAACACCTGCTAGAGGGTGCTTATAGAATGTCACTGCCCATCTTTAACATTTGTGTCAGCCCACCTATGCCTTTGGTGACTCCTTTGACAAAGCAAAATTACTAAGACTGTGCAAATGGGCAATCACCACACCACTTCAGCTGCTACGCAGCTATTGGTGACCACCAGGGCCTGCTTAGGCATCAGAAAGGTTCCAGCCAAAGAAAAGCAGACAGCCATACCAGGGAGTGGGACAATGTGGTCTGCTGAGGCAGTATGCTCAGAGGGGTGCTCCCTGCTCTCAGGGAAGGAGTGAAGGTACCGCAGACTTCCCATTGCCACCAGCTGAGTTTCGGGGGCACAGCCAATGACCGCAAAAGGGATGATTGCTTACCCAGAACGCAGGCGAAACTAAAAGCAGTGAGAGCTGCAACACTATCTCCAGCCTTCCTTGATAATTACTGACATATGCTGCTTCCTGGATGTCCCTTGAATAGACTGGCTGGCCTCCCTGTGTCCTGCTCCAAAGCACCTTTGTTTGATGAATGCTTTAACCCTGGAGAGTTACCCAAGAATGTACCAACACCATCCCTTACATTTCTTCTGTGTGAAGTTCCTAACAAATGTCTTATTAAGTTGAACTTCCTTTCTTTAAACAAACTCATGACTTTGCATCTGGATTTCCCTTTCCTCTAAGCAGTGGTATTTAGCCATGCAAAACAGACCTGCAAATTCACCCAATTGCCATGGCAAAAAGAGAGCCCTGATGAGAAAGTTTAAATTGAACATCTTTCAGCAGATGACAAACCTTGGCCTGCCTGAAGCCTTTGAAAGCTCAAAATGCAATGTAAATTAGAGTTCAAGGAGCCTAGAAGAAAACTATTTTAGCTTTAGGCTTTCAACCAAGCAAAAAAGAGTTAAAATTTTATTTCAAACAGCAGTTCAATCATTCGTTTCCCCAGTATTAATGAA